TGTATATCCAAATCTGTAGGTTATCTTTGGTTCAGAGGTTATGACTGTATTTCCAAATCTGTAGGTTATCTTTGGTTCAGAGGTTATGATTGTATATCCAAATTTGTAGGTTATCTTTGGTTCAGAGGTTATGATTGTATATCCAAATTTGTAGGTTATCTTTGGTTCAGAGGTTATGATTGTATATCCAAATTTGTAGATTATATATTTGTTTCAGAGGTTAAGATTATATTTCCAAATTTGTAGGTTATCTTTGGTTCAGAGGTTCTGATTGTATTTCCAAATTTGTAGATTATATATTTGTTTCAGAGGTTAAGATTATATTTCCAAATTTGTAGGTTATCTTTGGTTCAGAGGTTCTGATTGTATTTCCAAATTTGTAGATTATATATTTGTTTCAGAGGTTAAGATTATATTTCCAAATTTGTAGGTTATCTTTGGTTCAGAGGTTCTGATTGTATTTCCAAATTTGTAGATTATCTTTGGTTCAGAGGTTATGATTGTATTTCCAAATTTGTAGATTATATATTTGTTTCAGAGGTTAAAATTATATTTCCAAATCTGTGGGTTATCTTTGTTTCAAAGATTTGTGCTTTTGGAAACAAACTCAATAAGATATTAATTGTCTCTTGCTTCTTTAAAGGTACAACTTTTAATTAATTACTTATTCTCAAATATTATAATTCAAAGACAAGTATCAATTGCATTGGTTTAATTTTTTTTTTTTCATTAAGCTTTAGTTATTTTTAGTTGTTAGTCTTGTACTTATTGATTACACAGTTTACCACTCACTTGCATATACTTTCTTAACCCTACATTCACTAGTCAAATTATCACTTCATAAATACAGCAGGAATACTTGTAAACATTTTTAAACTTTATTACCATATGCTACAGTTCTATGTATTCATGTGCTAAATGTTAAGAATATGTACAATTTTTGCCCCCCCCCCCAAATTGATTGTACTACATAACCCAAATAAGTAAGAACTATGTATTGTTAAAGAAATATAATAATCACATTTGTCTTGTTCGTTCTAAAGTTGTTTAATATATTTATTAAAGCTTTTTAAAAATGTTTATTTTGTATTTAATATATTTTGATCATATTGGTAAAACATTCTAATTTTCAATGATGTCGCTTTTCACTTACATTAGGTTATCCCTATATGTTTTCATACTCCAGCATTTATTTCCTACTTCTAATCCAAATTCAACATTTTAATTGATCACTAAGACTTAATTACTAAAGTTCTTGTCATCGTACTACATTATCCACTGCTTTCTGGTGGCTCGGCGGTAAGTCTGTGGGCTTATAACGATAAAATCCAGGTTTTCATAGCCTTGTGCGTAACAAAAAGAAACATTATCCATCCACTGCCATTTAAGGTTCGTGAAATATAAATTAATACAAGTTTCTTGTTTCACTCCGGAATAGATTATACTAACTACATCCATATCATTTTACTGGCGTGTTTTTTTCCGAAATTCGGTAACGTCACTTAAATAAATGTAACTTTAGGAATACAATAACTAAGGGCAACAGAAGCTAAACTCCTCCTTTTTTTTTTACACACAGTTGAAACAACAGTAAGTGAATGTGAAGATAAGGGTGCTTTATTATAACAACAACTGATTCTTTTTACCACCCTATTACCTGTTAGTCTAGAGTAAGATGTCACTTTAGAGAATCTGCTGAAGAAATTCATATTGTTGCGTCAGCGAGTCACATGACCACTGTGACGCCACGTTCTAGAACTATCCTGTACTTTGGCGAATGCTCTAGTATTTACTAGATATAGGGTAGTCGGGTATATAAAAGAGGGTGACAACGTGACGCGGGAGATGATGGTAATGTAATGTGTGTGTAGACAGTGAGTAATTGAACTGCAGTCAGAAGTATTATTGAGCACGTTCGTTGTTATAGCGTTTGTTTAGCGCGATTGTTGAAGTTGAGTGTATCGGTAAAGTTGTATTCGGAAAGAATAAACCAGTTTTATTAAGTAAAGAACTTGTGTCGCTAAAGTTTCGTCGGAACGAAGTTACGGAAAGTTAATTAACAAACGGAGACGTAACAATATTAAATGTTAAGAAAGTGGAACCGACTTCACTGTTGCTAAACGACTACTTACGTACACATCTGATCAGTGGTTAAACAGGTGCGGAAGATAAAGAATACCAAACATTTTGTGGTAGTACTGCTGATAAACTCAAGGATTTAAGAAGTGTAGAAATATTTTTAAAATTTATGTGTGATAATTTTAATTCTAAAGTAAATACTTTTGTTGAGTCCTTTGGAAAGGATGTTAGTCAAAAATGTTTTTTTTTTCCTTTTTAAAATTCTACACTGTAATTTGAAAGGTAGACAGATAATATATTGTTCAGTAAACAACTGTAAAATCTCTTGAATAAGGCAGATAATATATTGTTTAGTAAAACTTCTATATTGTCCAAATAGTTTCCTAAACGTTTAAGAACTTGTACGTTCATCACGAGACTCAAAAATATATCGTTAGCGATACATAATACAAATGCCGGTATGTAATAAAACATAACCTACAACCCTGCCCCCTCCCTGGATCGTGAAATCTCTTTAATAATCCAATTACACAAAGAGAACAACATTGCATTAAACTTAACCCTCTGTAATTAAGTAACTTTACAGTTTCTTTACTCGTTTACCTGAACTGTATACAGTCACTAAATAGTTTTGGTGGCTTTCTTTCCTGTAGCTTATATACACAGCGTGGTCACAAGTAAATAGACACCACCTTTTCAGAAAAAAATGA